CTGTAAGTGATTTTTTTCCATAAAGAAATAAAGATTCTCTGCTCTTATACAGCACGTTGCACTCAAGGAATTTTAGTGAATCACTTTATGATCATGAATTACTAACCTGCCCACAGCATACCTGTGAAAAATAGACCTGTTACAGATGAACAGAATGGAAAATAATCATACAGTAAACTGGTGGCAGAAAGGAAATGGAATAGAGACATGACGAAGGAGAATTAACTTTACAGGTAGGATGAAGGATGCTAATCAGCCGACCTTAAAAGAAGGAGAGTAGCCTGGATTATCCAGGCGGGCTCAACATGATCACAAAGGTAGGAGCAGGAGGAAGAAGAGGAGGCCAGGGTCGTGTGATGTGATAGAAGGACTTGACCCACTGCTGGTGTTGACTTCGAGGCAGAAGAGGAGTGTGGGCAGTCACTAGAAGCTGGGAAAGAAAGAAAACCAGATTCGCCCCTCAGGGCCTCCAGAAGGGAATGCAGCCTGTCCACACCTTGATTTTAGCTGTGAGACCATGTTGGACTTCTGACCTACAACTGCTGCAAGATAATAAATTTGTAATGTTAGCCACCAAGCTTGTGGTAATTTGTTACAGCAGCAACCAGGAAACTAATTTATAACTGCTTAGTCAATTAGGAGCAATTAATGCAAACACAGTCATGGAAGACTATAGATAATCAATTTATGCAACCTGAAAATAACACAAGTCCATTTTGGAATAATAGAAGTAGATGCACACAGATTCCTTGGCTTAAAGAAATGTGGAAAAGGAAATACGTAAGAGGAATGTTTTTTCACTTCCATTTGAATACTAGAAGAGAAAAGGGATTAGTAAAAAGAACATACTGACATAAAGAATGAGGTAGAGTCTTAAAAATGGTAATTGGAGTAGCTTTCCAGGAGTTCCGGAATCTTTGTCCCTAGGGTTCTTTAAGATACACAGTGACCTGTCTATTTTATAATACCCTGAATGGCTTAGATATTTACCTGCCTGATGACAGCGCTTAAACAATCTCTCACGGCTTCCTCCAGCCTAAATATTCTACACAGACTTGAGTCTATTCAATTCTGTACTACAAATA